TTGTCAAAAACTAGTAGAATTCGACTTATGGTTACAGAAAAAAGCTAAAGCAGCTTCATCTCTTCAAGTTAATATAAATTTTGATGAAAAGTATGATCATAGTAAAGGGAAATACAAATCCAGAGAGGTCACACTTACAACTAAAGAAGATGTCAACAAAAAATGTGCCTTTTGTAATTATGATATTCATCCACTTAAAAAATGTTCTAAATTTTTATCTTCAACTACAGACGAAAGGTGGAGTTTTATAACTGCCAAACGTTTTTGTATTTCATGCCTATTTCCAAATCACAATATCAAAAACTGCAAAAACAGAAAAAGTTGTGGAATAAACGGCTGTAAAAAACCCCACAATGGACTTTTGCACAAAAATGAAGGTGAAGAGATGGAAAATCAAAGTAACATTAACTGTTATGTGGCTTCAGATCAGAAAGTTCTTTTAAAAATAATACCTGTCATCCTAAAGGGGAAAGAAATAGTAAAAACATATGCCCTATTAGATGAGGCATCAACAGTAAGTTTAATAGCAGAAGAGCTGGCAGATAAACTTCAATTAGAAGGGCCTCAACAACTACTTTCTTTGCAATGGACCAACTCAAAGGTCAAAGAACAAGAATATTCCCGAACTGTAAGTCTTTTAATTAGTGGAGATTTTCCCAATGCAAAGATGTTTGAACTAAGAAGAGTACGTACAGATAGAGACCTAGACCTACCCAGTCAGACAATTTGTTTTAAGAAACTAGAAGAAAATTATCCATATTTAAAAAACTATGACGTCAAAGACATTATAAATGGTAAACCTATGATATTAATTGGACAGGACAACTGGCCATTAATAATTAGTGGACAAATAGTCAATGGTCCATGGAATGGTCCAGTTATCAGCAAAACCTTACTAGGATGGGTCGTACACGGCAACATAAAAGAAAAATTAGGTATAAAACAATCAGATATCAAAACAGTTTGCCATATAAAGAGTATAGTTAAAGATGACCTGGATTTATTGCATGACCTAGTCAAAGAACAATGGAAAATCGACTGCTATAATGTAAAAAATCAAGAACATAATACATTTTCCAAAGAAGACGAAAGAGCACATCAAATTTTAGAGACGACAATTAAAAAATTAGACAAAAAATTTGAAATCGGTTTATTATGGAAACACGACAACATATATTTCCCGGAGAATAAAACAGTAGCACTGCAGAGACTAAATTCATTAGAAAAGAAAATGGACAAGAATCCAGAATTCGGCAAAACATACTGCGAAAAAATGAAAGATTTACAGGACAAAGGGTATATAAAATTATTATCAAGAAACGAATCTGAATTAATCCCTGAGAACAGAATCTGGTATTTACCACATTTCGGTGTTATAAATCCTAACAAGAAAAAAATGAGAATTGTCTTTGATGCTGCCTCAAAATCAAAGGGTTACTGCCTCAATAGTTTTCTTCTTACTGGTCCAGATCTGTACAATAACTTACATACGATACTCATGAATTTTAGAATCAAGACAGTAGTATTCGTAGCTGATATTAAAGAAATGTTTCTTCAAGTCTTGGTTAGGTCAGAAGACAGATCAGCCCAAAGATTTCTTTTTAGAGGTACAGATAGAAAAAAACAGCCAGACATTTATGAAATACAAGTAGTTTTCTTTGGATCTACATGTGGACCTACACTTGCCCAATATGTAAAAAATAAAAATGCAGAGATGTTTAAAAACACTTACCCCGAAGCAACCCAAGCCATTATAGAAGACCATTACATGGACGACTATTTAGGAGGTGCCGATTCAGAAGAAGAAGCCGTAAAATTAATCCAAGAAGTCATATACATTCACAGTGAAGCAGGGTTTAATATATGTAACTGGATAAGCAATAAACCAGAAGTCTTGTTTACGATCGACGAAACGTTCAAAACAATCGGGGAAAAAAGTCTAGACATGAATCAAAAAATATTAAGTAGTGAAACAATTCCCGAAAGAATACTTGGCCTGTGGTGGGATCCCAAAAATGACATCTTCTGCTTCAAAACAAATTTAGACAAAATTGCATCTGATATCCTACATAACAAAAAAAGACCCACTAAACGACAAATTTTAAAAATAGTAATGTCCGTGTTTGATCCTCTTGGCTTTTTAAGCAACTTCATCATTCACGGAAAGATCCTTTTGCAAGAAATTTGGCGATACAAGCTAGAGTGGGATAGTCCAATTACAGACAACTTAAACCGAAAGTGGCAGTCATGGTTAGAAGAATTAAAGAAAATTCACACATTTTCAATTCCCCGACAGTATTGCCAAATGCCCAGAGGTGAAAGCAACATCCATTTGCATATTTTTAATGATGCCTCAGAGCTGGCATACTCAAGTGTAAGTTATCTCCGGTGGCAATATGACGAAACTGTTAAAATTTGCTTCCTTACCGCAAAAGTTAGAGTTGCACCATTAAAACCAACTTCAATACCCCGTTTAGAATTACAGGCAGCCTTACTTGGTGCGAAATTGGGAAGTAGCATCAAAGAAAATTTAAAATTACCAATAAGTAAAATTGTATATTGGACGGACTCAAAGACAGTTTTGTACTGGCTCCAAGCCGAAGCTAGACGATTTAAAGTATTCATAGCACAGAGATTAGGGGAAATTCAGCAATTAACAAATATATCGGACTGGAGATACGTTAAATCAAAAGACAATGTAGCAGATGAAGGCACAAAAAAGGGACAAGGATTAAACTTTTCAAATACATCCAGATGGATTCAAGGACCGATGTTCCTGCGACAATCCGAAAATAATTGGCCCCTCCACGAAGATGAAAAAGACATACAGAATTCAGATATAAATAAAAACGACTTGGAAGAACGTATAGAATTTGTATTATTAAACATAGAAAGAGACAAAATCTTGATTCCTGACATACCTACACCAACAAGATTTTCAAAATTTTTATGTTTGAGTCGTGCTACTGCTTGGATGTTAAAATTCGTAAATTTACCTAAAAAAAAGTTCAATAACTCGAAATATTCTACAACTAAACCATATGAACTACAAATTACTGATATGGAAGAAGCTGAAAAACTTCTATTTCAGAGAGCCCAACTGGATTCATTCTACATGGAATGCAAATTACTTCGACAAAATAAACCCATTCCTTCTTCTAGTCAGCTATTTCAACTAATGTGTGAACTAGATGAAGATGGTTTATTGAGATTCCATGGAAGAATTAATAATGCTACAAACCTGAGTGAATATACCCGAAAACCAATTATTCTCCCACAGAAACACGTCATAACAAGACTACTAATCCAAGACTATCACGAAAAGATGCAACATCAAGGAACCGAAACAGTATTAAATTTACTAAGACAAAAATTTTGGATTCTGAAAGCTAGACGTGCAGTTAAACACATTGCTTATAATTGCCAAAAATGTAAGTTAATGAAGAGTAGTCCTGTTGTACCAAGAATGGGCCAACTTCCGAACTGTAGATTAGAAAGAACAATTCGGCCATTCATAAAATGTGGAGTTGACTATTTCGGGCCTCTTTATGTTACAGTTAAAAGATCCCACGAGAAACGCTACGGAGTCATTTTTACATGCATGGTAACTAGAGCTGTGCACCTTGAAATAGCACAAGATATGTCAACGAATAGCTTTATTCAAGTATATCGACAATTTGGATGCAGACGAGGTTTTCCTGAAGAACTATACTCAGATAATGGATCAAATTTTAAAGGAGCTGAGAGAGAACTAAGCGAAGCATTACAAGGTTGGAATCAGAATGACTTATATAGATGTTTAACACCAATGAAGACAAAATGGTTTTTTCAGCCACCAGAAACTCCACATATGTCAGGGGTATGGGAACGCCTTATACAATCCATTAAAAAGGTGCTGTATGAACTACTTAAATCCCGGTTTCCAAAAGAAGATGTGCTTAGAACAGTTATTTCAGAAACGGAAAATATAATTAACAGTCGTCCCCTTACTCATGTTTCTCAAGATCCAAACGACCCAGAGGCGCTAACACCAAACCATTTCCTAATAGGGGATAAAAATCGGGCGTTACCCTGTAGCGAAACTAATGAATGTGACTTACGCCTTTTATCAAAGTGGAGAGCAGCACAGAAACTTACTGATATGTTCTGGAATAGATGGATACATGAATATTTACCCACTTTAATAAGATCATCGAAATGGTTTAAAGAACAGAGGCCAATAAAACCAGGTGATATTGTTGTTATCGTCGACAAATGCCTACCAAGAAACAATTGGCGAAAAGGAATTGTGACAAAAACTTATCCTGGAAAAGACCTGAAGATAAGAGTAGTCGATGTGAAGACTACGAATGGTACATTTAGAAGAGGAGTTTCAAATTTATGTGTTTTAAATATAGATTAACACTGCGCCGGAGAATGTTACAGATAGTTTTCATAGTTTTAATTTTATTTTAATTTTAATCAAATTGTCCTCTAGACTATAAAAAATACTGGTTACTATGATTAATTTTTTTAATGTCATAGAAAAAGAAATAAAAGTCAGTCCTTTGACAAATATTTTTTCCTCATTTTTTCTTAATATATTCTGGGCACTACTAACCAAAACTTAAATATCAGTTCCATCTAATCCCAAACACATGGACATAACGATTTACCTGCTGATGCAAGAACTTTAATGAAAACTCCTGTTAAAACTATTTCCAAATTAGATTTGGGTAATGGTGGGCAGTCAATGTATTTTGGTATTGAGCAAGGTGTACTTCGAACCTTAAAGAGGCATTACATAAAATTACCAGATGTTGTTAAATTAGATTTTAACATTGATGGTTTGCCATTACATAAGTCCTCTAGTAGCCAGTTTTGGCCAATTTTATGTTCGATTTCTGATGAAAATATATATACTGAGCCATTTATTATGAAAAATTTTTATGGTGTTAAAAAACCCAATGACATAAATGTTTTTTTAAAAGATTTTGTAAACGATTTAAAAAATGTTTCAGAAAGAGGTATTATTTACTGTGGGAAAAAGGTTAACATTGTTATTAATGCTTTCATTTGTGACACTCCTGCCAAATCATTTATATTAGGTATTAAAAACCATACTGGATATTTTGGTTGTAATAAATGTATACAAGAAGGGGACTTTATTCAAAACCGTTTAGTTTTTCCTGAACTAAATAGTACATTACGAACGAATTTGTCTTTCAGAAATCGTACACAACCTGAACACCATCTTGTATCATCAGAATTGGAAAATCTAAATATAGACATGGTATTACAATTTCCATTAGATTACATGCATTTAATTTGTTTAGGTGTTATGAAAAAAGTGTTAACTTTTTGTATTCGAGGTACGTTAGATGTCAGAATTAAAAAAAATGTAATACCTGGAATGGTGCAAAAGTCAATTTCCCTTAAGGTACCAAAAGAATTTTGTAGGTCACCAAGATCAATCCTAGAATTAGATCGATGGAAAGCTACAGAATTCCGACAGTTTCTATTATATACAGGTATATATATTTTGAAAGATGCAGTAAATAAAACATTATTTGAACATTTCCTTTGTTTAAGTATTGCCGTTAGAATTTTATCAGATAAAGAACATTGTAAAAAGTTATTTTATTATGCAAAAGAGCTTTTGCACTTTTTTGTTAAGAAATTTGAATGTTACTATGGCCGTCATTTTATGTCATATAATGTTCATAATTTGTTACATATTTGTGATGATGTTGAAAACTTTGGTACACTGGATATGTTCAGTGCTTTTAAGTATGAAAATTATTTGTATAAATTGAAACTAAAGCTTAAAGATACATCTAGACCTCTTTGTCAAATTGTCAACAGAATCACTGAAGAAAATTTGCTACTTTTACACAGCCCTCAAAATGTTAATTATCCTTATGTTAAATATAAGAATGGCGTTGCTATTTCAGTTATATTTAGCAGTTTTTGTATCAGTTTATCAGAGTTTAATAATGTAAAGTTACCTTTGGTATCTACGCAGGGTATAACAGAGCTAGACACATCTATAAATGACGATAAAGATTTAAGAGAAAGATTTGTAAGTATATAGGTCATTTGTGATATAAATCTTTCATTTTATTCACATTTTTTATAAAAAAATTACGTTTTCAGACTAATTACTTAAAAAATATAGGAGGAAGAAACACAAAAGAAATGATATCCAGAATTTTGACAAAACTATTGAAAAATTCTCTAGGAGTTCAGTGTTCGTTACTGGGAAAACGAAATCATCTTCGTTTCAAAGATCTAAAACTGATGGAGGTGATAATAAGTAAGTATACCTTGAACGACCAGTATTTGACATTTTGTTTTATAAATCTTGCTAATTTTGTAAGAAATTTTAAACCAAGTCAAAAAAAATTATAGTTAAATTTGTAAGTATGATATAATCTTATTTTTCTAATTTTTAGCTGCTGTTCGTCACAATTTTAATGCCAGCAGCGAAAGTGAGATCGAACTTTTAGTTGGGGAATGGCTTAGACTAAGCAAACTGCGGATATCAAGGGAAAAATAATATTTTAAATTAAAATAAATTATATTTATGCTACTTATACATAACAGTTACATAACAGTATTATATATATATATATGTAGCAAATAAAGACATAATATGATATTTTATTTATTTACTTATATAATATGAATATTTCATAAAGTTACTCATATGTTACTTATAAGTAACAGTTATATAACATGAGGAGTTTTTCTGTAACGTATATGTTACATAACCTTCATGTGTTGATATGTAACCATGTTACGTACCTGTGCTAGGCGTCTCATGTTACTTGTAGGTTACTTGTACGGTATGAGCTACATAACGAGATACCTAACGATTGAAACTGTTTATGTATCAGTTACGTTACAATGTTGACTGGGCTGAGGCATATTCAAGTTTTAGATCTGACAAATGAATAATACAATAATTTTAGTGTCTTCGGTTTCTTAAAATCACGACCACTACGTACGATAAATCCATACATTTTGTATTGTCGGGGAGCTGAGGGGTATTTTACTTTACCTTATCGCCTTTTAAACACTTTTAAACATAAGCACAACTTGTTTATTTCAACAATCAGAACGTGTTAAGACATATAAACGTGAATGTACATAAAAGTTGGTGATTTCAAATTTGAGATGTTTGAGATGAGATGTTACCAGCTTGAGTGCTGATGGCTATCTGATCATTCTTTTACCGCTAAAAATATTTGTTACATGATTCCCCCTCCATTTACTAACTGACTTTTATTTGAATTTGATTGGTCTGGTTGGTATGCAACCCATTTTACTTAGTTGTGTATTGTGAATAGTCTATTCTTTGTTCCTGTCTTAGATAAAAGAGACCGGAGATGTAACATTGCACACTGCGCATGTTGTCTATTTTAAACCCAAGTAACCCACCAATTAAAAATCATTGTGTTCACGACGCCACCCGAATTGCTCCGAAATGTCTATTCTGTGCTTGTCTCCGCGTGAGTAAATTATTATGGACCGCCGTTTTTTGAATTATTTGTTGGTGTTATTAGCAATTTAAAGTGTTTTAGTTATTCAATTTCAAGTTGAAAGTGCCACGATGTATGGTGAAAAATTGTATACAGGGTGTACCAATAAAAACTCCCAGGCCGAATATTTTGGTAAGTAATAGAGATATTTTAATTCTGTAAAAGCCAGTTCACAGGGCACTAAGAGAGCTTCAGTTTTAGATATAAATTGATTTTAAATAGGTCAATATGTAGATGGCGCTGCGCTCAATAATTATTTTTCGATGGGAGGATCTTTCTTGTGTAGCGCATCTTGTAAAAAATACATTTTTAAGCAAATTTTGTTCTATGAACTAATTCGATAAATGTAGCCATTTTTGATATACAGAGTGGGTCATTCAAAACAGTTTCATCCTGTTTTTCGGCATTAATCATTGTATTTTTGGAAAATGCTAAAACAGGTCGATTTTTATTCCAAATTAAAGACATTTATACAATATAGACATATGTCATGTGTCAACCCCCTCCCTTATACTTCTCCACACCTTAATTTTAAATAGGTAATGTACCATGTATGGCTCATCATTGAAAAGGTAATTTAATGGGGGATTCAGAAATATTTCTGTAAATTACGTTACTTAAATTTTATCGCCCTCTAGCGGGATAAAAAACTACTACATATTGTAGAGTGTGATACTACAATGTGTAGTACATCATTAAAAAGGTAATTTTATGGGGAATTTAGAAATATGACTGTCCATTGTGATACTTTTAATTGTACTGCCCTCTATCGAGAAAAAAAACTACGTATTTTAAAGTGTGACACCTTATTTGAAAGCAAATTTAATTACTAATTCAATGTACCACATAACATTAATTAATAACAATATTATTATAAATATTCACATTGCACTTGCAATAGTTTAAAAATTAGTCATGCATTATTTTAAACATTATTGCTAACTTTATTTTGTTGCAAGTGCAATATGGAAATATTTATATTAATGTTATGTGGCGCATTGAATTAGTATTTAAATTAGCTTTCAAATGAAGTGTCACACTTTAAAATACGTTACAGATTTTTTTATCCCGATAGAGGGCGCTAAAATTAAAAGTTTCGCAATAAACTGTCATATTTATGACTTCCCCATAAAATTACCTTTTTAATGATGTGCCGTACATGGTACATTCCTTATTTAAAATTAAGGGGTTGGAGAAGTGGAAGGGAGGAGGTTGACACATGACAGATGTCTGTATTGCAAAAATGTGTTTAATTTAGAATAAAAATCGACCTGTTTTAACATTTTGCAAAAATACAATGAATAATTCCAAAAAACAGGATGAAACTGTTTTGAATGACCCACTCTGTATATCAAAAATGGCTAGATTTATCGAATTAGTTCATAGAACAAAATTAACTTAAAAATGCATTTTTTACAAGATGCGCTACATAAGAAAGATCCTCCCATCGAAAAATAATTATTGAGCGCAGCGCCATCTACATATTGACCTATTTAAAATCAATTTATATCTAAAACTGAAGATCTCTTAGCGCTCTATGAATTGGCTTTTACAGAATTAAAATATCTCTATTACTTACCAAAATATCCGGCCTGGGAGTTTTTATTGGTACACCCTGTATACAAATAATATAAGTGTCAATGTTATGAAAAATAAGAAATATATTCGTTTTCAGTGGTAAATATTTGTTGACGTTTTGACATAAAGTCGCCATGATTCTTTGAGCTGAATACTTCAGATCCGCATTAAGGGGTAAACATTTAATCTAAATAAGAAGTAAATAGGCATTGTTACTAACGAAATTTTGTTTTTAAATGTAGTTTTATAAGAATATTTACTAAAGATGGTTTTAAGCCCTTTATTAGGTATTTTTACAAGAATATTAGATGAAATACAGGCTCACGTACTTAAAATTTCAAGGTTAATTTTATTTGCGGTTAAATCGGAAGTGACATTTGAATCTTAAGTTTTAAAATAAATTAAAACGCGCAATATGATCTAGTATAAGCAAAAAAATACTAAAGTTACGGAAATTAATCATATTATTAGTAAAATGTTACATTATAAACCCCTAAACAACTCGAAAAAAAAAATCTTCGTTTACTAAAAAAATCTAAATTCTAGCAATATTTATTATACAATCGAATGCGGTTTCAAAGATAACAGGATTAATAAATCCGAATCCATAAATTATAGAGCTAAATGCTTGGATAAAAACATGACCGATAGGAGTTACAAAAATAATCGATTTATCGTTTTCATGAAAATCGATTTATAATTAATTTATAATTAATCGATTATTTTTGATTAATCGAACATTTTCAATAAATTGTTTTCGTTTTTTTAGGTAAAGGAATAATCGATTATAAAGGGATTACAAAAAGAGAGTAGAGTTATTTAAAATAATCGTTTTTTTTTTTTTTTAGAAAAATCGATTTATTGTTTGATCGACTTTTTAAATTAATCGATTATTTTCGATTTATAGAATATTTTCGATTAATCGATTATTTTCGATTTTTCAAAGGTATTCGAATAATTTGTTTTAAAATACAAAAAATAGAATATATAAAAATAATCGATTAATCGAATATAATCGGTTATATTATATAATCGATATTTCGGTTATTTTTTAGAATTATCGATTTATCGGTCAATCAGCTTTTTATTAATCGATTATTTTTGATTTTTCAAAGAAAATTAAATAATCAATTTTAAAAGGAATATGAAAAAAGAAAAGGATTATTTGTAAATAATCAATAATTGTTTTTTTTTTTTTTTGGAAAATCGATTTATCGTAGAATCGGCTTCTTAATTAATTGGTTATTTTCGCTTAATCGGTTATTTTCGATTAACCGAATATTTTAGATTAATCGATTATTTTCAATTTTTTAAAGGTATTCGAATAATTTGTTTTAAAGGAATTGCGAAAAAATAGATTATATGAAAATAATCGATTGATCAAATATAATCGGTTATTTTATATAATAGATATTTCGGTTATTTTTTAGAATTATCGATTTATCGGTCAATCAGCTTTTTATTAATCGATTATTTTCGATTTTTCAAAGATAATCAAATAATTAATTTTAAATGAAATATGAAAACAAAAGGATTATTTGAAAATAATCGATAATTCAGTTATTTTTTTGGAAAATCGATTTAACGTAGAATCGGCTTCTTAATTAATTGGTTATTTTCCCTTAATCGATTATTTTCGATTAAGCGATTAGTTTCGATGTTTTAAAAATGATCGAATAATTGATTTTAAAGGAAATAATTCTTTTTTTTTAAATCGATTTATTAATTATTCGACTTTTTATTTAATCGATTATTTTTGATTTTTCAAAGATTATCGAATAATCTGTTTCAATGGAAATACGAAAAAAAAAATAGATTATTTAAAAATAATCGATTATTTAAAATAAACGATAATTAGTTTATTATTTTTTGTAAACACTGATCTATTGGTTAATTGGCTTTTAAATTAATCTATTTTTGATTTTTCAAAAATAATCAAGTAGTCGATTTTAAAGGAAATACGAACAAAAATAGATTGTTTAAAAATAATCGATTGATCGAAAATGATCGATTATTATTAATAATCAATAATTTATTTCGATAATCTCCCACTCCTGGCGACCAAATGACTTTTAATAGGTTTAAATTTTAAAATGTTATCTGGTTTCAGACATATGCATTTCTAGAGTTTTTTGTGACTCATCCTCTATATTAATTAATATTCCTAAAGAAACAAGCTTTAATATATCTTTTTCTGAGGTTATAATACAAACCAGCATTTTCTCATTTTGACTAATTTTTAATATTATGTAATAGTCGTAGAAAAAATATAATGTTCAACTCACATGGTTTGATTTGCAGTGTTCGCCTGCGCACCTGCTTTTTTTATAATACTCTTAGACATTTTTTACTAGATTAACAATATTCTATTTCAACATTTTACTGTAGTCTCTTACAGAAAAGTCCGTAGTAAATAATAGCTAACGAAATATTCTAT